CTCAATTTCCTTACCTGTAAACTGGGGTAAGTTGATGTTCATAGGATCAGAGAAGATAATGAATGAAAAGGACCTGCCATGCAATAAACTTAATACATTTTAATGATTATTTATTTTATTATTAATCATAATAGTTTTAGAATGAACCCAAGCAAAGATTTACCAATGAGAAAATGAATGATCATGGTAGTGCTTTTGCTTTTTTTCTTCCATTTCTCTTAAAAAGTAAAAGATTGAATAAATGTTTAGTAGGATTATTGTAAGATTATGTATGATTTTAAGGGGGTTGAAATTAACCACTCTGCAAGGTTATGGTCTAAGTAAAACCTTCACCAAATCATTTGTTAAGTTCACGTATACAAGACCTGCAGGTAGTCCTAAACTTGACCATTTCCTGTCAAAACAAAAGGAATGTCTCCTCTAGAATCCCTTTTATGGGCCAAAAGGAAGCTGTAGGCAACCTAAATAGTTAGTTGTCCTTTTTTGAGGGAGCAGAGTTGGGCAAGTAGGGGTAGGACTTAAGCTATGGTCTTACGAAATTGATGGGCACAGCTACAAATGGCAACTCCAGAATTTGCTTTCTGCTTTGCTCATTGACTCCTAATGCAAGAGCTCCCTCTGCAGGCGTCAACAACCCTTAGATTCCGCATGGGAAGCTAAGTCCAGCTATGCAAGTACCTGTTGCAATTCTTTCTATTTGTGAATGTCACTGTACCCACCAACCACATAACTGAAAATGTCATGGTAAACACACTTCTTTGGTACCACTGGTGCTGCACTGTGTCAGAATCAGTGCTATCAAGTATGAAGTGAGTCCTGATGACACTCCTTGTATACACATTTACCTGATCGTATAGCTTAGCATGGGTATGTGGCACATGGAACAAAAGACAGGATGCATTTTTAAGACCCCCTCCATACTAGAGAGACACTACCTCTGTGGATTCACACAGCTCATTAAGTGCCTGATATTCCCGTCTATTGAAAAGCATGGTACATGCATACCAAGGAATGACCCTACTACCATGTTATTGACCAGTTCTCTCATCTGCAGTTTATGTCAAGTCTTAATTTAAAGTCTATCAGATTCATAAAAGCCTGTATCAGATTATGTTCAGATAGGCCAAAAGATATAAAAGAATACTTTGGTAGATAAAACATAGCTATATGGCAATGATTATATTAATAAGAATGGACAACTTGTTTGAGATAAACATTGCAGCACCACATATAACATGGGATCCCACCCTTAAAAAACTCACTTGCCAAAGTTCAAGTATAAAAAGGGCCATAAGATGTCCACAGGGTCAGCTATGCTATTGCATGTAGCGTCAGACATTTTTAAATGGTGAGGGTTAGGGGAAACTAAATGAGAGAAAAAAAACAGTGAAAACGAAGTTGGTGAGAATGGCCTAAGGTAAACTCACAACTTATTTCAATGATTTTCCCCACTTGCTTTCCCATCTGGTGTGTGTGTGTGTGTGTGTGTGTGTTAGTATGATAAATACTAATTGAAATGACGGTTCTGACTAAAATCATCACAAGAAAAGTATCATGAATTAAATAGAGTGTCAAATTCTTTCTTAAAAGAAATACTACTTTATTAACAATCTCCATTGTCTTCTTACCATGACCCTAGTTTTTTTAAATTACGAAACATTTTATACATACCAAGAATACATGAAACACATGTAAGTTATACTAATGCTACTAAATCTACCTGTGTGTCCCTCCTCCCCTTTGCTCATCTGCCTATCTTTAAAATCTCATATTCTCCTAATTAAGGATGAACATCACAGTAACCTTTCCTCACCCACACTGGTGAGATATTTATTAGGTATTGTTCATGGATTTTAAAAATGTTATTAAAACATTATGAAAATTATTAAGCACATACAAAAGCAGAAACACTAGTAATTCCCATTTATCCATCCTATTCCTTCACCAATTATCAACGTGTGGTCAACCTTTATCAGTATCCCCCATTCGTCACTTCTCCTCCTTGCACCACATTATCCCAGCAAACCCCAGACATCACCTATCTAGGGCTTTAGCTTCTGTCTCTCTAATATATGAGCTCTTTAAAAAAAATCACTGCAATACCATTAGCAAACCTAAAAGACATTAGTAACAATTCCATAGTATCACCCATTTTCAAACATTAAAATTTCCCAGCTTGTCTTATAAATTTAGTATAGTTGGTTTGTTTGAATTGGGATCCAAACAGTGTTTCATTTGAATTCACATCTCTTTTTAAAAGCAAAGGTTACATGTCAGATGTTGAGCTAGAGACCTGGCCAGATACAGGGTCAGTTTTCCTTAGCTGGAAGGCTTCATAGATGGGGCCATCTAGGCCGCTGCTTCACATGAGGTGTTTAACCTCAGCATGGAAGGGTAGAGATGAAGAGAAACACAAGAGAGGGACCTGTTGTATCTGGGTGGGGTAGAGGGTAACCAGGCAAAGACAATTATTTTTTGATAAAACATTTAATGATTCTGGATGAAATCCACTTAACTATATTTAGTACTTAACTACTTTACTGTGTTCTGTTCTGCTGGAGGGACTCAAAATGTAGCAACTGTGTGAACCAGTTAGGTGTAGTTGGAGACCTTCGCTTGGTGAACTTGTAGACACTCCCTTTAAAGGTATTTCAGAGGTACTCCAGAAAAGAGAAATGATAAAAACGTATATAACACAAGGCAAGCTCATGTTCTCTGCTTGGAATTCTTGATGATCGGAGTGATCATTTAAGCTGGGAGAAACTTGGGGCCACTCAAATTTGGGAGTCAGAAGGAGAGAGGCATTAAAGAGATAATTAGTACCCTTGATCTCAAAAGCAGGTAAGTAGTGACAGGAAGAGGTAGAGACTGGAGACCAGAATCACGAAAGTGGAATGTAAGCAAAAGGGAAATATGTAATTATAAAAAATAGAGATTAAAAGAATGAAGTCAGTAATAAGGTACTTGTATAGTTTAAAAGTTTTCCTCACTCTTTTAAGACCTTGTTTTCTCTAGAAGTATTTTAAGGTCTGTAAGTAAAAAGTAAAGGATGAGCTGTTTTCCTAGATAAACAATTTCATCATTTCTTAAACTCCATGCATTTGGCATTGTTGGAAGCTATAAGCTACTTAGCTTCTAACAGGACACGCACAAAACAAGACCCAGGGCAAAGGGCTCAGGAGATCTAGGTTCAAAGCCTGGCTCTGGTCCTTTTATTCATTTTTTTTAAACAAAAATAACTTTATGGAGACATATTTAATATATCATAGAATTTACCCATTTCAAATGTAAAATTCAATGACTGTTTAGTAAATTTACCAAGTTGTTACAGCCATTACCATAAATCAGTTTATGAACATTTTCTTTCCCCCAGTAAGATTCCCTCACGCCCATTTATAGTTAATCCTATTCCTGGCCCCAGGCAACCACTGATTTACTGTCTCTATAGATTTGCCTTTTCCAGGCATTTTATATAAATGAAATCAAACAATATGCCTTCTCATATATCTGGCTTTTTTTACTGCAAATAATGTTTTTGGGGTCCATCCATGTTTTTGGGGTCCAAATAATGTTTTTGGGATGCATCCTTTGAAGCATGCATCTGTAGTTCATTCCTTTTTACTGCTGACCATCCCACACTGTTTATCCATTACCAGTAGATGGCCATTTAGGTTGTTTCCAGTTTGGGGCTCTTATGAATAATGCTGCTAAGAGCATTTGTATGTAAGTCTTGGTATGGACATATGTCTTCATGTTCCTTGATTATATACCTAGGAGTGAAATTACTAGATCATAAGGTACATTTATGTTGAACTTTTTGAGAAATTGAATGCCAAACTGTTTTCCAAAGTGGCTGCACCAGCAAGATCTGAGGGTTCCTGTTTCTCCATATCTTCCAAGCTCTGCCTCTTAAGAGCTGTGAAGCTTTGGGCAAACTTTAGTTTCCTCTTTAGCAAACTATGGGGGTGGGGAGTTAGCATTTACCAAGTGTCTACTCTATGCTAGACTCTGACAGAAGCACCCATATTCTTGGCCTCGCCTCATCGATCTCCCCAGGGTTTTCCATGTATCTGATGAATTTACTGAGGCTCAGAGGAGGGAGGTAAATTAGTCATCACTGCAGTACAGGATGGTGATAAATACTAAATTATATCAAATAAAACATATGAACAGGCCTAGTAAAGCGTTGGGAACGTAGAGGGTGGCTAATGGAGAGATTTTTATTTCTCTATTTCTTCCCACCATCATTCGCATCTCCAGTAGGTCTAGCCACAGGGCCTGACTTACCCTAATCAGGTCCCACCACTTTTCTGGTGTTGGTCACCTGTTATGAAACTGTTGAGCTTTGGAGAATCTGAAAAGCCTTTATAGAATTTATCCTGCAGTCACAGCCACTCTAGTGGCAGAAGTATCACAGAGCCAATCCCTAACCCAAGTAGCATAATCTTTGCTGCACAAAATAGTGAGAGCAACTAGTTCAGGATGGGCTCCTATCTTTTCATGGTTGCTTTTTTTTTTCGTGTCTCTTTTCACAATGGCTGTATTTTTCCAGATTCCAGNGTAATCTTTGCTGCACAAAATAGTGAGAGCAACTAGTTCAGGATGGGCTTCTATCTTTTCATGGTTGCTTTTTTTTTCGTGTCTCTTTTCACAATGGCTGTATTTTTCCAGATTCCAGAGAAGGGAGTTCTGAATAAAAAGTATATATTAAGGTTGCCAAGAAGTTAATTGACTTGATTACTTTGAAATGGACCCAGTTGGCTTGCAGACTGAATAAATGGCAATACCAAAAGAAAACAAAGGGAGATAACACCCCCTTTGTCAAGTTCAGGAAAGTGGTGTGGGGTAAAAGGACTCAATAGCTTAGTCAAATTCAAGGGTGTAGAATTTGTAAATATATTTTTTAACATAAAACTTTATATGAAATATTTTTAATATTTTAAATATACAATATAAAGTGTTTTTAAAAATTAGTAACTTGTCATGCATTGTCTTTTCAGGGAGAGCCTGGCGTCAGAGGACCTCCAGGCCCCTCTGGGCCTCGGGGCATAGGAACCCAAGGGCCCAAGGTGAGTCCCCAGGTCTGTGCTGTGTGAGGGTCAGGTACCATCCCTGACAACTGAGTAAACATTCACTTCATAGTAAGTGTTCATTTTGGTGTTTGCTCATTTTTTCTTGATTACTGATAAAAAGTCTTCTTTTCTCATATCATGTGAATGTTCAGTAAATAGAACATTGAAGTTTATAAGGCCATTCTCTTCCCCGAAAGAAATTAGTAAGCCAGTATCTCTTAAGAAAGTGGTTGCAAAGTGCTCAAAATATTTCGAGGTTCCTTAGAAGCTGTGAAATCATTAAGAAGCGTGTCTTTACTTTGGCCAGAGGTGCTTCAGGTGGTCTTTTAACAGGACACCAGACACTGTATCTATTGTGTCATAGGTGTGTAGTAGACTGTCAGGGCCTCAGTGCAAGGGTCTAGGTTTTCTGTCTCCATGGAAGGAAAGAGAAACTTCCTTTGGCTCCCTTTGCTCTCACTTCTACTTTTCTTCCTTTTGCCAACTCCAGTTTGGTGATCATTTATCCTTTTAATCCAGTGTCCTCCTCTCTCCACTGCAGGGGGACATTTGGCAATGTCTGGGGTCATTTTGGGGGTTCACAACTGGAGAAGGATTGTTATTGGCACCGAGAGGGTAGAGAGGCCAGGGATGCTGCCAAATGGCCTATAGTGCACAAGACAGCCTCCCATAATAAAGAATCATCCAGCTCAGAATGCCAATAGTGCTGAGACTGAGAGGTCATTTTAATTGTTCACTCACTTGCTCAACAAATATTTTTTTGATTTGTTCAAAAAGTAAGGTAAAGAAGTATCAGGTATGTTTATAGGGAAAACAGGTGTCAGTGAGCCATCCATCACAAATTCAAATTTCAAATAGATGTATTCACCCCTGCAAATGCATGGAAGTGAATTAGAATCCTGTTACCAGAGAGGAAAGGGGAGAGGCTTTATGAGTCAAAGTTACTGAAGATCTCAGAATTACTAAGATTCTTTATCTTTTCTTTGTCCATCAACTCCATTGGGGCAGTGGGCTATTTCTTAAGCTCATAGATCACTTTATGTGGGTGAAGATTGCCCCAAGATGTTAGTAGTTGTTATCACTGGGTGATGGGAAGATGGGTCTATTTTTTTCAGTGTCATCTTTATATCTATTTAAATTTTCTTTCCTTTTCTTTTCTTTTCTTTTTTTGCAATGAGCAGGTATTCCTCTTATATTAACCCAGCATTTCTACAAAGCTTATTCCATCAAATGTTAATCTGGGAGCTTCTGGGATAGTTAAACTAAACTCTCTATTGCCGGACTTCTTAGAGGCTTTACTATTTTAATTAATATGTGCTAGAGANCAATCAGAAAAAATAAAGTTTTTTTTTCATAGTGGAAAGAAAAAGTCTGACTTATGCAGTAACTTATATTAACCCAGCATTTCTACAAAGCTTATTCCATCAAATGTTAATCTGGGAGCTTCTGGGATAGTTAAACTAAACTCTCTATTGCCGGACTTCTTAGAGGCTTTACTATTTTAATTAATATGTGCTAGAGATCTCCAAGGAGAGGCACATACCATGGTGTAGAACATTTTCCAATCTCCTTTGGCCACAGAAGCTTTTCCTCAGGGAATAGAGGGTTCACTTATGCTGTAAGGAATACATACTGGGAAATCATGTACTTTTTGCTTTATTTATATCTTTTCTCAAAAATTCAACACTGATCCACATTAATATCCACTGAATCTCTAACTGCAACCCTGGTGAATTAGCACTGCACGTTGAAATGGAGCAATAGATGGAAAGCTACGCAGAACTGTGTGTGAGTGGTCCTCACACCCCTGGTGTCTAGGGGTTGGTGGTAGGGCAGCTGAAAGGAGCCCAAGCTGATGAGGCTACTGGCCAACACTTGGCATACATCAAGCAGCTTTGCCTCAAGTCTTTATGTATATTTGGATCATATGAAAGAGTTTTGCAAAGGATTCTGTGACTTAAAAATGTTGCTTTATATAAAATATGATATAGCTTTTGGGCAGCGTGGAGGAAGGTCATGATCAGACTGAAGTAAGAACAAAGCCAAGAGCAATAATACACTGTTTCTCCCTAAATCTCCTTACACTTGTCTGATTTCTCTCCATCTTCCAACAGGGTGATATGGGGCAGAAAGGCTTGCCTGGCATCCCCGGCCCCCCTGGCTATGGGTTACAAGGAATTAAAGTAAGTGAACATGATTGTGCTAGAGTCACATCTCAATCCACTAGGGTGACGGACAAAAGAGGTTGTGGACAATATCAAATGTGACTATTATGAAATGAATTTAATATAAGCTTAGCCATTAAAATTGCATCCAGTATTTAAAGACACCATGCAGCAGTGTAAAAATCACGTAAGTACATCATCTCATGAATGCTAAACATAAATTGCTTGGTGAAAAATTTAACTGTTGCAATGATTGGCTATGCTGCTGCTGTGGCATCCCTGGTCCTGGGAAACCCTGAAGACATGACAGGCTCACTTCCTTGGGCACCACAGCAGCCTCCTGTCATTCCTATACAGTCCCCCTGTGGCCCAGCTGACCCACTGTGCTACAGAGGACTTCCAGCTCCTGAAGGCCTCAGTTCTTTTTCTCAACCACAAATGTCTATTAATTGCATGGATGAATATGGGACTGTAGCTCTTTGGTCTTAAAGTGGCTTTGGTGTTTCACATTCACAGCATAGGCCAGGAGGTTATATGATGACATCATCTTAACCCCCTGTGAGCCTCCAGCACTGACCTTTCCCCTAGGTATGGACTCTAGATATGCCAGTAATTCCCCAGATTAAGTCAGAAGGGGGAAGGGATGGGGCTGGGTCTTGAGAGAGTTACTTACTATGTCAATTAGCCCTTGAGGGGCCAGCCCTTACAAGGGGCCAGGAGGGATATAATGAGAGAATGGGCCATTCGGGTTAAAAAGCCAAGTATGGGGACAGACAGAAATCTTCATTTCTACTCAGGAATCATTCTAGTTCCCCTCTCTCCATCTTTAAGTCAGTTCCAGTGTTCTGATCAGCCCTGCCATTCCCATAGGATTTTTTCTTTTTTTTTTAAGGGAATCAGAGGTCCTTATAAATATAAGATTCCTGGTGACCCTCCATGACTTGAGGAATCTGAGATTCATTTGTGGACTGAGAGTATCACTCCTGCTATGCCTAATCCCTTTAATCATTAAAAGAATGAATTCCTATACCACTGGCTTCCATTCTTTGTTGAGGCCTGAACATGATTGATCCCCTCCTGGCTGAGGGAACTCTCCTTGTGGGCAAAGGATGGCTTGAGTAACATTTCGAGCCTAGTTGGTTTAGTATCAGTGTGAAAAAAATTAGTTTCGATGACATGCTGGGAGAATTAGGTGAACACTATGTGGCACAAATCTTAGCGTTTCCACAGCTGACAAATAGTGATGACTGCAGTTGTCCCATGGTCACAGAACTAACAAATTAACCACCGAGACATATGGGGCCCAGAAATGGAGGGAAACTCAGGCCAAATGACCTCTCTCACCTATCTGTATTCTGACTTCAAAGGTGTAATGGAAAGAGATTGAGCTTTAGAGCCACTCAGACCTTTGCCGGGATATTTCTACTTGTGTAAGCTTGGACAAATCATTTATCTTTGTTGAACCTCAGCTTACTCATCTTTAAAATGGGGATAAAATGGGGATAACAAAGCCCATTTACAAGGTGTTGTAAGGTGAAATTGTGCAAACTGCCTGGAACACGGCAGTGGCTACTCATCTAGAGCTAGGGCTGTGGAGTCAATAGATTTGAATCATGGCTTCCTGAGGACTGCATCTCTGCCTCACTTTCCACATCTGAGTGAGGGGGTAATGACAGTACTGTGGTATTTCCTAAAGCTGTTGTAAAGCATAAATGTAATTCAATGAGACAGTATGTATAATGCACTTAGCACAGGCTCGGCCCATGGCTACACGTGCAGGAAATGTTGTCGTTCCTCGCATTACTAGTCTTTCCTGTTTCTCTCCCTTTTCTGCTAGTACTTCTTGTATTTTCCAAAATGAAGGTCTAGAACTCTGACCTTCAAGTGATTTAATGATCTAAAACATAAAATATTGGTTGCATTGATTGTGTAGGCATGGCTTCGGTTCCCAAAAGGACCCCAACACATATAACGGCTCAAACGCAGGAGAGGCTGCTGCTCACGTAACAGGCCATGTGGGTGTTCCTGGTTGGTGGTCAATTTCCTTCCACATAGAATTTCAAAGAATCTCATCTTCCATTTATGTTTCCTCTATCTGCTGGGCGTCTTTACCACTTACAGCCAGCAGGCAGAAAGAGAGAGTGGGGAAGAGGCACACTCCTACTTAAACGTCTTGGCCAAGAGGAGACAGACATCACCTCTGACCACATTTTATTGGCAAGAGCTAGTCTCATGGAAAGGGGGGTCTAGCTGTGTGCCCAGGAAGAAGGGAACCAGAGGTTTGGTAAAGAGCTGGCATCTCCTGCCACAAATAATTTAACCTACTTCTAGGTAAGATGAAAAAGCTATTTGTTGTTCTGAAGTATGTCGGTGGTTTCAGGAGAGAAAGGGAAACGAGAGTGATCTCCATGGCAACTTCCAAGGTGCCTTGTCTCTCTCCTGATTTTGTGGGGCACAGTCACCTGTGTGTACAAGGACAGGGTTCAGCCCTATCATTTCTTTTATCCTATCTTAAAAAGAAAACCTTAGAGCCTTGATAGCTTCTTATTTATTTCAAGCAGTGTTAGGAGCACCATGGGTGATTTAGAAATTGTTTGGAGTAAACAGGCTGAGTCCCAGATAAAGAACTGGACAAGGCTTGGGGTTCAGTGGGACCAGGAAATTTTCATTTCTGCCTATGACAAAGCCAGGGTCAGAGGATGAGGGACACCTGAAACCTGGTAGAGAGCTGTGGTTGAAAGGCTAGGGGGAGATACGTGTGACATCAGAGGAGGGAGGCAGAGCTGGCGGGAAGAGCCCGATGGTGATGCAGGGAAACAAAAAGGACCCACAATGAGGCTCCTGTGGGGAATTAGGGAGGGTGAGATCCTCGGGGGATGACTTGGGATGCCAGTGGCATTGGAGACCAGCAGGGGTGTGGAGGTGAGTGGGATGGTGAGTCCAGCTTACAGGGCCCGGCAAAGGGACAGCCAGGATGAAAATGGCTTCTCCCACCAAAGTGCTCTGATTAGAAATTCAGGGGAGAGCCTTGGAGATTCTTGGCTCAGTGTTTAGGGTGAATATCACTTCCCAGGCAGACTTTGTGTTTGTTTCAGCTGTGTCAGAGTAGCTGTGGTTCTGTAAACTCCAAGCACTCTTTTTACTGAATCAGGTATTTTCCCCACTTTCTGGTGTCCCGTCGCCAGAAAGAGTGAAACTTGAGAGAATGTCAGCATACTGTGTTGGGGGTCTCATGGGAAGCCTGCATGGAAAACTGTCCCCCTTAAGGTCCAAACAAAAATGATTTATTCACTGAAATGAGGCTGACCTGAGCGGGAAAGAATCCCATTTATAAAACCTCAGGGGTAAGTTCAGTATACCCCAAGTCGCAAATACCTGTGGAAAGGTTAAGAGGTATCGGCATTAGGAAATTTTCTAGTTTCCTAAACTTATATCCATGCGCATGATGTTGTTTACAAGGGGAGCAATAAACTCACATTTTAATATGATGACTTTTTGGTGTTTCAATTAAAAATTTTCTTCCGCTCCTGTCTGTAAACAAACTAACAGCAGCAAAAACAGAAAACAAAACCAACCATGGTAATAGTATGTTCACTGCATTCAACCTGAATGCACCTTAGAAATTAAATTGAAACAGTAGGAATATGGTCTATATTAATAGCATAATAGACTGTACATGTGCTTATGCCAGAAACCATCTTTGAATTAACGTCTAATACTTCTTCTGTTATAATATTCAAATTCCCACAATGATTTCTCTACATAGAAAGGAGTTGTTGGAACCACACAGGAGGTTTACACTCTAAAAGAGTTTGATGTTTTGGGATTATAGTTGCCAAAATGCCTGTGGCGGAGAGGGCTGAGACTAAAGGTTAATCCTGATTATTGAAGTCCACAAACCTAGTTTCAAACATTGAAGGCCTCACCCATGTTATTATAACCTTTATTATTTTTAAACCGGATGAAAAATACTGATATGGGTTATGAACCAAAGCCAGAAGCCCTGAGCCCACAGGATTCTCTATAAAGGTTGTAGACATCAGGGAAAGTTTGTGTTAATTAACTGGGGCTGGCTCTGAGGCCATTCGCATTACTCAATTATTGGTTCACACTCTCATTTTCCTCCTGGGCCAAGTGGCTTTCATTCCTTCCAGCCATTTAGGAAAAAGGATTTTTGTGTGTGTTTGATTTTTAAATTCTGAAGGTGAATCTGAGAACATGATAGGGCATTTTCCTCTGTCAATCTCATTATTAAATTTTCCTTTTTAGTAGCCAACTCCCCAGATCAGAACTGGAACGGGAACTCTGGGCTCTCAGTTCGGTGGGGCTGCACTCATCATTACCAGCTTTTATTTATTGTCTCTTTACAATGAACAAGGCCTTATGCAATGGCTAGTGACCCTCACAGAAATCTGCTTGACTTCTACCATGCTCCTTACACTGTCAGGAACCTGAAAGGTAAAATTAATTCCTCAATCATTTTTTCCAAAGTAAATATTGAATCCTGCCCAAGGTTTACTATGGTTTCCCCAGTTCCAAAAGAAAAGTCAAAAGGACTGAAGACTTGTTAACAAAGACAATGTCCAACATCATGTGCTGATGCTGGATATTTTAAAAAATAAGTAGATAAAAAGACATTATCACCAAAAATAAGAAAATGATATGAAACGTTTTATTTAAGCAGTTATGTACTGAAAGTGTTCATCATGCTTAATAGTAGTAACTGACAACTGTGGTAAGCATGCTGACATTTTAAATTGTTCTGACTTTTCCTCTCCCCTTTTTCCTTCATATCTTCCTCTCTCCCTCACTGCCTACTATCCGCCCACTCATATCTAATATATAAAGACATAAATACTATATATTTATTCCTTTTCATTCTTGTAACAGATATTGTCCATATAAAGCCAAGTTGAGTGAAGGACGTAGATAAATTCCTCTTAGATTCTGCTACCCTCTTTATGGTATTTCCCATGAATGTCACTGTTGAAAGTTTATAAAAGGTATTTTATCTTTTC